CGCACCCGACAATTACCCGGAACATTTAGTCCCCGGACATCTACTCCCCAGCGATTTCCACCCCCGACAATTACCCCGGACATTTACCTCCCCGGACAATTACGCCCCCAGACAATTACCCCGCCGGACATTTACCCTCTGGACAATCTACCCCCCGGACATTTACCTCCCCGGAAATTACCCCCGAACAATTTCCCCCAATGCCCTTACCCCCATGCCATTCACCCCCCAGACAATTCACACCCCCAGGCATTTATCCTCGCGACAATTACCCCCAGACATTTACCCGCCGGCCGGACATTTACCCCCGACAATTATCCACCGATATTTACCCCCCCGGACATTACCACCGCGACATTTACCGCCCAGACATTTACAGCCCGCGACGAATTACTTTCCGGGACATTTACCCCCCGGAGCATTTACCCCCCGGACAATTACCCCGCCGGACATTTACCCCCGGACATTTACACCCCCGACATTACCACCCGGAATTTACCGCCCCGGACATTTACCCCCCGACAATTACCCCCCGGAGCCATTTCACCCCCCGGCCAAATTACCCCAGACATTTACCCCCCGACAATTACCCCCCAGACATACCCCCGGACAATTACCCCCGAGACATTTACGTCCCGAGCAATTACCACCCGGGCAATTACCCCCGGACAATTACCCCCCCCAACCCCCCCCCGCCGCACATTGTACCCCCCCCGGAGCAATGACCCCGAGATTTACCTCCAGAAAATTACCTCACCGGAGCAATACCCATATTCATTTACCCCAATGCCATTTCACACGGGCCCCCCCTCCGGACAATCATTCCCCGGACATTTACCGCCCCGTCGGACATTACCCCCGGACATTTACCCCCGGACATTTACCGCCCCGGACAATTACCCCGCCCTGCGGACATTTAGCCCCCCGGACAATTACCCCCCGGACATTTACCCCGGAACAATTACGCCCGCCAGCGGACAATTACCCCATGCTAATTTACCCTCAAGCCATTCACCCCAGGACAATCACCCACCGTGGACATTTACCCCGGACATTTACCGCTCCTGGACCTTTACCTCCCGACAATTACTCCCGGAATTTACTCACGTTAATTGTTGTTTAATTATTCTTGTTGAACAGTGATATCAGTGGAGAAAGTCCGAGGAGGAGGGAAAGAAGGTGTGGAGAATGAGGAGGGGAGAAGGTGGGGAGAAGGTGGTGAAGGGGGCATGAGGGCAAAGGCAGAGGAGGAGGATGGAGGAGGAGGAGGAAGGAGGGGGCAGAGGGTGGAAGAGGAGAAGGAGAGGAGGAGGAAGAGAAGAGAGGAGGAGCGGAGGGCCAGGTGGCTGGAGAGGGGAGAAGTAGGAGGAGGAGGAGGAGGCAGAGAAGATGAGGTGGAGGAAGCAAGGAGCGGAAAGGAGGAGAGGTGGAGGAGGAGGATGAGGAGGTGAAGAGAGGAGAGGATAGGAGGAAAGGTGGAGGAGGAAGAGAGGTGGTGGGAAGGAGAGAGGGGAGAACGTGGGAGAAGGTGGCGGAGAAGGAGGGGAGGAGAAGAGAGGTGATGAAGGAGGAGAGAGGTGGAGGAGGAGGAGGGGGAGAACGTGGAGGAGTGGCGGAGAAGGAGGGGAGGAGGGGAAGAGGATTGGAAGAGGAGGAGGAGATAAGGTGGAGGAGGAGGAGAGGAGAGGAGGAGGAGAGGAGGTGGGGAGGGCGAAGGAGAGGAGGGAAAGCCTCTGCCTCATCTACGCTCATCCACTTTCCCCTCCTCCCCTCCTCTACTCCTCTCCTCTCTCCTCCTCTCCTCCCACTTCTTCCGCCCTCATCTTCTCGCTCCTCCACATTCTCCCCCCTCGCTCCTCCTCCTCCACCACGTTCTTCTCCCACGTTCTCCCCTCCTGCTGGCCCTCACCTCCTCTCTCCTCCTCCTCCACCTCTCTCCTCCTACTCCTCCTCCTCCACTCACCTTATCCCGCTGCCTCGGCCTCCAGCACCTCTCCTCGCTCCGCTCGACCTCCTGCCTTGTATCAACTGTTTCACAAATGAATTATAAACACCAAGTGAGTAAAGTCCGAGGGGTAATTGTCCGGGGGTAATTGTCCGGGGGGTAATTGTACGGGGGTAAATGTCCGGGGGTAATGTCCGGGGGTAAATATCGGGCTACTTGTCGAGGGGGGGACGACTGCAATGTCGCGAGGAATTGTCCGGGGTAATTGTCGCGGAGGGAATGTGCGGGTGAGTTGTCCGGGGGGTGAATGCGGCAGGGGTAAGTGTCCAGGGGGTAAATGCCGAGGGGTAGTTGTCGGAGGGGTAAATGTCCGGGGGTAAGTTGTCGGCCGGAGGGTAAATGTTCGGGGGTAATTGTCCGGGGTGATTGTCGCGGGTGTGAATGGCATGGGAGGTAATTGTGCCGGGGGTAAATGTCCGGGGTAAAGTGTCCGGAGGGTAAGACTGGTCGCGGGGGAAATAAAGTCCCGGGTAATTGTCGTGGGTAAATGTCGGGGTGTAATGTCCGGGGTAATTTCCGGGAGTATAATGTCGGGAGTAATTGTGCGGGGGATAAATGTCCGGGGGTAGATTGTCCGGGGGGTAAATGCGCGGGGGTCAAATTGTCGGCGGTGGTAGAATATCGCGGGGGTAATTGTCCGGGGGGTAAATTGTTCGGGGGTACATGTCCGGGGGTATTGTCGCGGGGGTAAATGTCCGGGTAAATGTCGTGGGGGTAATTGTGCCGTGGGTAAATATCCGGGGTAATTGTCCGGGGCGTAATTGTCGCGGGGGTAAATTCCGGAGTGATTGTCCGGGGGTAAATGTCCGGGGGGTAAAATGTCCTGGGGTATGTCGCGGGGGTGATTGTCGGCAGGTGGATGGATGGGGTAATGCATGGGGGGTAATTGTCCGGGGGGTAAAATTGTCGCGGAGGTAATTGTCGCGGGGGTGATTGTCGCGGGGGGTATTTGTCCTGATACCATAGAGGTTTGTGTGGGGGTTGTGTGCGTGTTTGTGTGCGTGCGTGCGGGCAGGAGAGCGTGCATTGCGGAACATGCGACGTTTGGTGTCCGTGCCACGGCTGCTGTTCACTGTGCATCATGCCGCGCTCCCTCACCCGGCTGCATATAGCCGTGGCGTGACGGCAAAGGCACCGCGCTAGGGCCGCATGACAAACGCCCTGCGGGAAATTAACGTGTTCAGCGTAATGGAGCGTCGTTTATAGATTGTCAGAGTCATAGCCAGTAACTTGACCGAGTGCAAGAGGAATGCGGGCGACCATACGTGGGGGTGATGCTAGCATGAGAATGCGTCCTAGAGTGCTAGAGTCACACACAAGAGACAGGGAGAAATAAAGAGAGAAAGCGCGCAGCGCGCGCGCGCGTGGGTGTGTGTGTGTGTTGTGGTGTGTGTGTGTGTGTGTGTGTGTGTGTGTGTGTGTGTGTGTGCGTGTGAAGTGTGTGTGTCAGTGTGTGTGTGTGTGGTGGTGTGGTGTGTGTGGTGTGTGTGTGTGTGTGTTGTGTGTGTGTGTGTGTGTGTGTGTGTGCGTGAATGTGTGTGTGTGTGTGTGTGTTGTGGGTGTGTATGATGTGTGTGTGTGTGGTGTGTGGTGTGTGTGTGTGTGTAGTGTGTGTGTGTTGTGTGTGGCAGTTGAGTGAATGTGTGTGTGTGTGTGTGTGTGTGTGCTGTGTGTGTGTATGTGCGCACTCTTACGTATTGTGTACGTATGTGTACGTGTGTGTGGAGGGGGGCGGTCTGTTGTGTGCCGGTGTGTGCATGTGTGTGTGTGTGTGCGGCGTGCGTGCGTAGTGTGTGTGTGGGAGGGAATCTCTGTGTGTGTGTGGTGTGTGTGGTGTGTGGGAGGGGGTCTCTCTGTGTGTGTGGGCATGTGGGGGGATGTGTGTGAGGGGAATGTGTGTGTGTGTGTGGGAGGGGGTCCTGTGTGTGTTGTGTTGTGTGGCATGTGGGGGGGAATGTGTGTGAGGGGGGAGTGTGGTGTGTGTTGGGGAGCGGGGGGTCTCTGTGTTGTGTGTGTGTGTGGCATGTGGGGGATCTGTGTGAGGGGGGAGGTGTGGTGTGTGTGGGAAGGGGGGTCCTGCTGTGGTGTGTGTGTGGTGTGTGCATGTGGGGGGATATGTGTGAGGGGGGAAGTGTGTGGGGGTCTGTGGGAGGGGTCTGTGTGTGTGTGTGTGCATGTGGGGGGATAATGTGTGAGGGGGAGTGTGTGGTGGGTCTGTGGAAGGGGGTCTGTGTGTGTGTGTGTGCATGATGGGGGATGTGTGTGGAGGGGGGAGTGTGTGTGGGTGTGTGGAGGGGGGCTGCTATGTGGGGAGTGCATGTTGGGGATGTGTGTGAGGGGGGAGTGCTGTGTCGGTGTGTGGAGGGGGGGTCCGCTGTGTGGGGGATGTGCATGTTGGGGGATGTGTGTGAGGGGGGAGTTGTGTGTGGGTGTGTGGGAGGGGGGTGCTGTTGGGGGATGTGCATGTTGGGGGGAGTGTGTGTGGCGTGAGAGACGGAGAGAGAGAGAGAGAGAGAGAGCGGAGCGAGAGGGAGAGAGAGAGAGAAATAGAGAGAGCGAGAGAGAGAAGAGAGAGAAGGAGAAAGCGAGCGAGATAGAGAGAGAGAAGAACGAGCGAGAGAGAGCGAGAGAGAGAGAGAGAGCGAGAGAGAGAGATGAAGCGATAGTAGAAGAGAGAGAGAGAGAGAGATGGAGAGAGAGAGAGAGAGAGCGGATAGAGAGAGAGAGAGAAGAGAGAGAGAAGATATGAGCGAGAGAGAGAGAGAGAGAGGAGAGAGAGAGAAGAGAGAGAGAGAGAGAGAGAGAGAGTGCGACAGACAGAGAGAGACATAGAGAGAGAAAGAGACAGGCAGAGAGAGAGAGAGAGCTGGATGGATAGTGAGAGCGAGAGACTGAATGCACTCCAGCCCGCTATGTGTCTAAAATAGGTTGTTGTTCCTTCACTTCACCTCCTCACATTCTCTCTCTCTCTCCCGCTGTTCCTCTAGGCTACACGGGTGTAAACTGTGAGGGCATCATTGACAACTGCCTAGAGGAACCGTGCCTGTACGAGGGCAACTGCACCAACTTCATCGGTACCTACGAGTGTGACTGCGTCGAAGGTGAGCCATCTGTTTATTTAATCTTTCTTAAATCATTATTTCAGAGACTATCTTAGAGCAACATTGTAGCATAGCCGCTTGTCCTAGAGCAACGTAGTAGTAGACTAGTAGGGTAATACGTAGCAAAGATTTTATCTTTCGTACAGGTGTGTTTGATGGCGTGTTTTTAATATGTGCGGGGTGTGTCATCGAAGAACGTAGTTATTTACTTACTTAATTATTTAATTTATTGATTAATAAGTCATCAATCAATATATTTCTTTATATCTTTATTTCTTTCTTTCTTTCTTTCTTTCTTTTTTTCTTTCTTTCTTTGTTTATTTATTTATTTATTTATTATTCTTAGTTCGTTAGCAGTTACATTGATTAAAAGCAGTTACGTGGTCTGTTTATTTATCTCTATTGCAAGAATCTATTTAAACAAATCTCTTATCTTTAATTCAAAGCAAATCAATTTAAACTTTCTGTCCATCTCTAATTAAATCGTCACTATTTTTAATTTTAAGTAATCCAATTAAAAATTCTATCAATCTCTAATTAAATCGTCACTATTTTTAATTTAGAGTAATCCAATTAAAAATCCCATCAATCACTAATTACCCCCCCACACTCCTCACATTGTCTTGCAGGAAGGAATGGCACTAATTGCGAGCTCGTTATTGACAACTGCCTGTCGCATCCGTGTCAGTTCGGCGGCACCTGCCAGAATCTCTTCAACGACTACACCTGTCTCTGTGAGGCCGGCTACACAGGTGTGTACACTAATTACTGGTGGGGTGGGGCTGGCTACACAGGTACTGTAACCCCTAACCCCTTGGTAACTTCTCTATAGAATATATA